GAATTGCCAGTTTTTGGAATTCCGGTTTGGAAGACTTGGAATTCCAGTTCCAAACTGGAATTGCCAGTTTTTGGAATCATTCTGGCACAGCCTGTCACCCTTCCCTTTGGAATAAGTAGACACCTCCAAGGAAAGGAAAGGATTCCCAATATTCATTGTGGCCTTTTTTTTCTCCCCAATCTTGGTCCATTAATTCCTCACTGCCCTGTAGCTGTTAATGCCTTTTAAAATGCCAGTTTTTCTAGTTCTTAGTGAAAAAGAGTTGTTATCAAACAACCCAGTCTTTCCTCTCTAGAATGGAAGACTTAACTAGTACTATTTTTTTTAATCATTTTGAGACAAGATCTCGCTATGCAGTTCAGGCTGGCCTTGAGCTCATTTTGTAGCTGAGGCTGGCCTCGATCTCAAAACGATCCTCCTGCCTGAATCTCGAGTGCTGGGATTACAGGTGTGCCCCACCATGCCCAGATTTCACCAGTACTTTTAGAATGTATTATATATGATTTTTAAAAATCTCCAAAGTGACATCACTTGTTTCCTCTACAGTGTAAACATTAAACACTATACATATGAGGGAATTTTTCACATGAATTTATTTATTTGTTTATTTTTTGTACCAGGACTTAAACTCAGGCCCTTGCACTTGCCAGGGAGGTGCTGTGCCACTGAGCTATATCTCCAGCCCACACATGAAGTTTTAAACGTGAGAAACAACTTTTAACAATGACATACTGTGATTACAACTTCATAAAAAGTGTGTGTCCATGTGAGGAAGCATTGGAAGAGTTATTTGAAAAAAGCAGTTTTGTGTATTTTTCGTAGTTAACCATTAATCCCCCCATCATTTTATAAGATCTTTCCAACATTTAACCCCATTGAAAGAATTTTTACTATAGATATCTATATAATCACTGCTTGATTCCACCTTTGACTTTTTTTTTTTTCTTTTTTGGTACTGGGAATAAAACTCAGGGCCTTGTGCTTGCCAGGCACGCACAGTGTTGCTGAGCTACATCCCTGGCCCACACCCTTGACATTTTACTATATTTGATTTATCAAATATCTGTTCCTTAATCTATTTTTCCAGCTCTGGGAATCTAACTTTAGGGTGCTGTACCACTGAGCTACATTTCCAGCCCTTTATTTTTTAATTTTTTGAGACAAGGTGTCACTAAATTGTACAGGTACAATAGGAGTTAAACTTGTGATCCTCCTGCCTCCACCTCCCTCATTGGGATTACAGGCATGTGTCACTATCCTGACCTATTTTATTTCTGATATATTTCCAAGAAAGATGCAGACATCAATATACCCATGACATTCAAAACGCATTTCATTAACTACAGATCATTATTTGTTCTCAGCTTTTTCCTTCTAAGGCAAACTACATGCAGTGAAATGCATGTATCTTAAATGTACATCTGGTTTTTGACCAAGGCATATACCTATAGTGATAAGTTAAAAATCAGAAACCCCAGCTACAGAGTCTGAGAGTTTAGCTTATTGGTAGAGCTTTTGTCTGATGCAGGAGACCCTGGGTTCAATTCCCAATACTATAAAATAAAAATCAGAATGAAGACTTTCTTTTGTTCAAGTCCTCAATTGCTCAATTGATAGTTATATTTCGAGCAGTTGTACTGCAGGCCTATGATGTTGGGTGGAGCCCAAGTGTTGGCTCAGTGGATGGGGCTAGGATTAAACTAGGAGCAACAAATTTGGGAACATTTCTTCTAGTTTAGGTTACCAGTGGTAGCCATAGCGTGTGAGGACAAAGGGTCCTATAAGACATCTCTAAGCATGGAGATTAGTGCAGAACCTGGCCTGTCTTCGTACAGAACCCCAGCAGATGACCCTTGGAGTTGAACAGTTGAAAAGCACTTGGCTCTCATTTAATTTCAGTTTTCTCTTACTGCCTTGCCCTATTTTCATTACAACTTAGGAAATGTTCTTGTTCATTTATTTGTTTATAGTCCATCTTTCCCTCTAGAATGTAAGCTTCTGAAAGCAGAAGCCTCTTCTGTCTTATTCCCTGCCGTGTCCAGCACATTGTCTGGGCTCAGTAAGAATTTGTTGAGAGAATGACTCACTGCTCCACTTACTAGATGGGGAAAGGAGGCCCAGAGAAGGGAAGTGACTTGCCTAAAAAGAAAAGAAAAGAAAAGGAGTCCTTTATTCCCATCCTGCAGCTCTCATTTTAGTCCAGTCTTTTACTCGAGACTCCTGTGACTGTTGGGGCACCTGTGGGATGGCTGACAAGTACCTGCCTGTAGGTGTGCCTTGTGGGCTGGTACTAAAATGACTGGAAGCAAAAGGGCCCACAGTTCCCCACTTCAGTGGGCCTGGGCCTGGGCCTGGGAAGGCTGCTTCCCTCTCTCAGTTCTTTCCTAAGACAGCCATTGACTGTGTGCTGATGGGAGGTAGCGGGTGGAGAGTCTAGACCATAGGTGGTGAGCCTATGATACACATGCTGCAGCGGGCTGTTTGTGTCACTGCTTTAACAGGTTTGCTATCATTGGTGTAGACACTCCAGGAGTCCAGTAGAATCGGAGTGGGCCAACTGTTCACTGGCAGGCATCTGAGAATGGGACTCCATTCTCTTCCTGTGCAAATGGTCTGCCCAGTGCTGTGCTGAACCTTCCAGGATGGATCAGCCAAGACTACCGCTCCTTGATCTGTTTTATCCCTACACACATACCACAAATGTTGTGATCGCAGTGTGCCTGTCTCATGGAGAGAGAAGGAACTAGCATTTGCTGAGAAAGGGTTACTTGCCAAGCTGTATGTGCCTGTGATTCTCAGCACAGCCCTGGGAGGTTCCAGGAAGAGTAGCAGAGGAAGGCTCAGGTCATCCAGCACTCGGCAGGGCTGGAAACCATGGGCTCTCTACCACACCCAACTGTAGCATTTTCCCACAAGTGGTAAGATCCGGGAGGGGTCCTTCATATAGTGTCAAGGATGACTACTTATTATAATAGCTATTTTCATTGTTGTAACAAATATAGGTAGCCTGCCAAACCCTTTTATGATAATATAAATGCAAATAAAAATCAAAAGTTTAGGCTAGACTTTAGACATAGACAAATTAAAACTAAACTGATGGGGTTACTGTCCTCCCAGGTACCAAAGTACTTCTGCACTCAGTTATTTTTCAGGTTAATTTTTTCATACTGGGAGTTCCATTACACGTTCTGGCCTTGCACTTTTCTGTTCGCTGTGTGTTTTTCATTCCCGATAGATGGGGTTTGGACTTCCCAGGAAATGTGACCTTGACTGGCTCCTCTGGAAGTCTGACGTGTAGAAACTGGGCAGTGGTCTCTGGGCCTTTGGGCTGGAGTGTCCGGCAGAAACATCTTGAGTCTGCCTGCTGTCTCACTGACACCTGTGTGCTGGCCCTACCCACGGGGATTGAGAGTCACAACTCCTACACAACTAGGGACTTCCCTGCCTAAAAGGGCATGGCTTGTGGAAAGACCTGACGCAACCGGTATTCCCAGGCTGTGGCTCTGGTCAGCATAGAGTAACTCCACAAACAAGGGGGGCAGGGAAGGGGTGGGGGTGCATAGAATCCTAAATTGGCGCCTCTCCACCAGGTGGTGGTGGGGACTGGAGATGGTAGGGGCATCAGCTTGAGGAATAGAGGCTAGAGCAGGTTTTTCCTTGGTGTTCCCATTGCACCTGTCCCGCCACGAAGAGTTGCCTTTGGTCACAGAACCGAGGAGGTGGGATTGGGGAGCACCAGGCTGCCTGCCGGAGAAGTTTGCTGCTACCCGCAGCCCACCTGGTGCATCGGAGACTCGGGTGTTGGATGAAGGAAGGGTCGGTCCTCCGCATCTTGCCTGCGCGCCCCTGTGCAATCTGTCACGCTGCAGACGCCTGGCTGCTCGACCGGCACGGATCACCGGATCACCGAGCGCCCGAAAAAACTCCCTGGGAACCACACCCACAATGTGTCACTTTCCACCCACTAGGACTGTGTAAATTGACTCTCCTGCAGAACCCAAGGTGCTCATCCTGGGACCCACTGCCGCCAGACTCACGGACAGACGACTTCGGGGCGCCACAGGAGAAACACGGTGGTCAGCCCTTGAAGAAGGTTCCGCGCCGCATCCCTGCTCCTGGGCGACGCACTTCTGGGTCTCTCCGCGGTTTGACAGGTTCCTTTCCGCCAGGCCTATTGCAAAAGGTAGCCCACGTACCGTGCTTCCACCCAGCTCTGGTTAGGCAGGCTCAGTACGCACATCTGGAAAGCGGAGGAGAGGTACCCACAGCTTGGGCGGGGACGGCGTGGGCTGGCTTGATGTCAGAGGGCACCCAAGAAACTAGGCCCATTCTAAGGACTTGGCAGATTCCTCTCTTCCCTCAGTGAGATCCTTCGTCCTTTAACTGCCCTGCAGCAAATGGGGAGTGGGAAGATGGGAAGGAGGCCGAATGGATCACATTTAGACGGGCGTGGAAAGATGGCATTCAGGCAGCCCTGCTGTGGCTTCTGCCTGGCCTCAGTTTCCATATCTATAAATTGGGGAAAAGGTCTCGATCCAGGGGCCTGGAACAGTAGAGAGGCGGAATGTTTTGGTGCATCTGCAGCCGGCGCTTTTGAAGTCCAGCTTATATGAGGACTGGGCTGCGGAGCGGGGGCGCCTTTCGTCGCTTGGGAGGCGCGACCCCACTCTAGGCTCGGAGCAGGTTAGGGAGTCCCGGGAGGCGCGCAAAGGCGGGGCCGGCGACGCCCTGTCGGTGTTGACCAACCAGCGCCCGCTTCTGAATAGCCAATGAGGCTGCGCCTTACAACCGAGGCCGTGTCGGGAGCGAGGCTACGGCGAGTGCGGCGCTGACAGGGACGCGCGCGCGCGCGATCGAGCTCGGACCCTGGGCCAACGCCGCCATCGCCGCCGCCCGCCCAGTCGCTCCCTCAGCCGCTTCCCCTCGCGATGAAGGCGAGGCCGCCGCCGCCGCGGGGTTCCGAGCCGCGGGCCGGGCGGCGGCCCTGAGGGCAAGTGGCGGGCCGAGACACCGCCGCGGAACCGAGGCGGAACCGCCGTCCGTGTCCCCAGCGGTCCCGCCCAGTGCTGGACAGGGTGAGTGTTCGCGGCCGGCGCCGCCCGGGTGGGCTGCAGAAAGGGGGGCGGCTCCGGGCGCGGCTGGGACCATTCCCGGGTCCCTGTTATCCAGGTGGAGCCTCTCGGGCTCCTGCGGTCAGGTCCCGCATCCTTGCGGGGGTAGGGAGGAGGGGGTACCCGGAAACGTGCCGGACAGGGCGCCGACCCCTTGGGCTGCCCAGGAACTTCGCGTGCGACCTCCTGGGGTTGGGCCGGGGCTCTGCGGTAGTTCATTCTGAAAGAAGAAACTTGGAACCGCGAGAACAGCATTTGCTCAGGTCCATTTAATGGGAGGGACGAAGAGAACGGGCCGGGAAAAATTTGCTTTTACGGTGACCAACTTTTCTTTCAATTGAAGACCCCTGCCCCCCACACACCTCCCTGGCTTCTCTTTTGCTATTCATTACCAACTGGTGAGAAGGAAAATAGGGGCTCAGAACTGCCCAGAATTTAAAATGAGCCACTTGGGAATGCAGAGCCCCTCCCTTTTTACTTCCAGTAAATACAATTTTGAAAATTATTTTATTTTTAATTTTTTGGAAAAACGGATACTTAATTGTATTTCTCGAAAATAAAAATTGTAACGGCAGAGCTGAACCTAATGTTGAAGGGTGCGTGTGTGGTCAGTGATTATATTTGTAAGATAGGAAAAGAAGATGCTTGAAATCCTCCTTGGCAGGTAGGTGAATAGCTTCACAATGCCTTTGCCCACGGTAGGGATTGCAGCTCTAAAACAGTCACATCCCCCCAGAGATCACTTGCCACCTGCTAGCTACCGAGGTGGAAGACTGACTAGGCAAGGGCGAAAATCTTTCTGCCTGGCCACTCCTTTCAAAAACACAGATTTGATGCTGTCACTTGTTTATTTAAAAACTCCCTTGTTTTCCTACTGTCCTTTTCCCATGAGATGAATAAAGCCCAAAATACCTTATCAGGGGATAAACAAGGCCCTTGACAGTCTGACCTCAACTTACTCTTTTAGCCTAATATTTCAGTTCTTTCCTTCATCTTCCTCCCTAGCCATTCAGAGCTGTGAGATTGTCCCTTCACATATTAGGAGATTTTTGCTTTCTGTGGTCCTCTTTCTTCCCATCTTAACTGTCAGGCTCCATGTCTTCTTTTCAAGCTCTTCTCACTTGAGAAACCTCAAGGGTAAGAGATGTATCTTGTTCATCTTTCCACTCTGGGAGAATTCTTCACAGTTATCTTGTAGATCCCTATCACTTTTTCAAAAGAATTTTCCACAAACATTTCCTGAAGGCCTGCTTGAAAGCATGCCCAAGACTTTTAGTACTTCTGATTCCCCATCTTCCTCTGTCCATCCCACCCAACCCCCATAAGTAATCACCAGGTGGGAACTGGCAGGTCTTATGTTCCACTGGTTTCTAATCTGCTTGACTGTCCCTGAAAGGCCAAAAGTCCTTCAGTCACTTTTCACCTTTGCCCTAAGTGGCCTGACTTACATGTACTCTAAGGGATGGTGGGATCTAAAAGGCTGTTCACTGGCTCTCTTTTAACCACTTACCTAGTAAATGCACGAAATATAGAACCAGAAAAGCAAATCCTCTAAGTATATGGGTATTCATGTGCCTTCTATTTGCTAGGTGAAGTGCTTGGGATATAAAATGAAAGTTAGGAGCTCATAGATTAACGCAGGACAGATGGACATAAACAATTACATCACAGGTGCTACTAGAGTGTAATAATAATTGCTGTTGTCTTTTATTTGCCTGTAACAGGCTGTGTAATAAATGTTTTACATGAATTCCCTCATTTAATTCTTTCAGTATTACAAAGGAGCTTATTTCTACTCTGCAGCACTGGAAACAGGCCATATGGTGGGCAGATGAAGAAATACTCAGGATTTGAATCCTGGCAGAGTCTATTTACCAAGCTTCTACCAGGCTAGGAAGGGAACAGTCCCTCTCTGGGTGGTCTGGGAAAGCTTTCCTGGGTCCTGAAGGATGCATAGAAGTTTGTGTGAGGAAGACATCACACCTAGGAAAGAGCCAGCACCACAAGAAAACTTGTAGGATTTACTGTCCTTGGGAAGCTGGGCAAAGGTTAAACATAGCTAGTTTGTGTAGGAGGGAGAGGAGTAGGAAATAAGGTCGGCTTGAGGGGCTGTATGTACTGTTAGAATTTGGGTAGGGGAGAGCCATTGGATGACTTAAAGGAGGTCAGGGACTTGGGCTGACTGGGCTTTGGAAAGGTCATTTAGGGGCATTATGGGACTCGATGCTGATACCTGTTCAATTTAGTGAGTGTACCCCACAGAGGTAGAATCACATCCTCTTATATCTAGGGGACGACATAATAGTGCTCAGTTTTGGGAAAAGATAATTAATGGATATGAGAGAAAAATTTCAGCAGTACAAAAGGACTTAACAGAGGAAAAAAAAAAAATCTCCCTTACCCTGACCCCAGATCTCCTATATGCTAACCTTCTCCCAGAGATGTGTGAAGTTCCTGGCTTCTGTTACCTTGTTTTGACATTATTCCTTTATAAATGTGTGTCTACCTATACTCCTCCCATTGTGGTACATATCTTTTAACATATTTTGGAAATCTTTGCATATTAATACTTAGTTGTTTGTTTTTTATATTGACATTTTTTCACTGTATGGCTATACAGTGAAATAAGCTGTATATCTGAGTGTATTTTTAATTAATCTTGATGTTAAACATATATTTCAAGATTTTCCTCATAGCCATACAGTAAATATTCTTGTACATACTTTGTTTTGTGCTTATGTGTAAAGTTATCAGAACAATAAATTTTTAGAGTAAAACTATTGGGCTAAATAAAGGATGTATACTTTTGTATACATTTGTTTTTAGATGTGAAACCAAATTATCACCTCTGTGAGATAATTGTACCCATTCGTCCTCTTCCCCCAAATGTGTAACTCAGTGCATCTTCACCAGAACATCCAGCAGGATCATCTGGGATGCTTTTTCATATGCCTACGTTTCTCTGCGCAGTCACCATACCCATTACCATGTGATTCTAGCCTATTTCCTTTCAATTTATGAAGGCTCAAAAGCATTAAAATAACTTGTACAAGAAGATCAGTGTTGGGTAGTTTATATTTTTGCAGCTCTGATACTTGTATTTGCCCAGTACCTTTCTTGGAGGCACTCAGCATCCATTCATGAATATTGTGGCATTATTTTTCTTCATCTTCACTGGAAAAAATGAGATGCAAGTTTGAGTTATAAGCAGGAAACTGGCCAAATATAGAATCTTATTTTTTTATTTCTAGTGCAATAACAAATAAATATTTCTAAGTGCCAAACCTGAAGTTTTGTTTTGTTTTCTTTCTTTCACTACTGGGATTTGAACTCACTAGGGCCTTCATAATGACCTACATCCTCAGCTCTCACCTCTCTTCCCTTAACCCCCTTTTAGAGAAAGCATTCTACTGAATCACTGTACTGCCCAGGCTGGGCTCACACTTCGATTCTCCTGCCTCAGCTCCCAGAGTGCTAGGATTACAAGCCTGTGCTACCACACCCAGTTTGAAGAAATTTTTTTTTTTGGTACTGGGAATTGAACTTGCCAGGCAAGCACTGTGTTGCTGAGCTGTATCCCCCGCCCTTGTTTTGTTTTTTTAGTGAGTCTAAATGCAATAAAAATAGCAATAATGTAACGAAACTTAATAAATCTGAACAACAAACACATACACCATTAAAATTTATTTTGATATATTTTCTATTGAAAAGAGAATTATTAAATGTAAAATTTACTAAATGAAGTAAATATAAAATTACATTTATGACGTAACTAAATTCTCATCCGTTTGTGTAGGGACATCCTTTTTAATAGCTTCAGTCATTATATACAGAATATTATTTTAGAATTGTCGAGAATAGAGTATATTTACTCATTTCTGTATGTTTGTTGTTTTAAGGTACAGTATAGTGTTCCATACATCCATAGCTACAGTTTACATAGTCTTTTTTTACTTTTCTTTTTACTTTTGGGGGAGCATGGCAGTAATTGAACCCATTGTGAGTCAAACATTTTACCACTGAGTCTCATCTCCAGTCATCAGATACTTTATTTTGGATTATTTTCTTGGACCTTTACTCCTTGAATCAAAGTATTAGTTTAATGCTGAATTGCTACATGTAAAGGTTGAATGAGTTTACAACATTGTCAACAATTAATGTATGTTTCCCCAGCCAGTGCTATCAGAAATAAACCTAATATTTGATTATTTTATTAATTTAAAAGAAATGTCATGGCACCTAGCATTGTTTAATTTACATTTCTTTAGGAAAGACCATTCGCATATTTAGATTTTGCAGTAAGTACAGTGCTATGATATATATCACACCTAAGAGTTAGGTAGCTAAAGGCAGCTTATGGTTGAAGAAAGACATAGTTAATAAGACAAATACTGTGAAAATTTAGAATAGGATCATGTCAGTATAAAATATGAGATACTCCAAACAAATGTACCAGACATTGTGCTAGAAGCAAGAGATACCCAAGAGTAACAGGGATGTGATGTCTGTCCTCCTGGTACTTACAGGTTAGTGCAGTAGACAGACATTAATCACTTTATAGTAATTACAGATGTGATGGATGTGATCAAAGGCGAAGGATAGGGTGTCTTGGGAGTGCCAGAGAAACTCAGCAGTTAAACAGGATTTTCAAAGGCCCTGAGCTGGGAAGAGATTTGGTAGCTCAGGGCAGCGCTTCTCTAACTTGAATGTGCACATGAACTATCTGAGAATCTTGCTGAAACACCCCACATTATTAACCAGTTCCCTGGTGAGGCAGTTGCCGGTGGTGGGTGGATCATATTTGGTGGAGAAAGATCTAATTGGGAGCTTGGTGAGCACCTGAAGCTAGTTGACCATGGTGAGCAGGAAGTGGCAGGTGAGTAACAGCTCTGTGCGTTTTAAATTCATTTAGGCAACTTAGAAAACTCAGGATTGCAAATACCCTACCCCCAAGCATTTTGATT